AGGGAACACGGCTCGCAGCATCTGTCCAAGGCGGACAGCGGTGCCAGAAAGCTGGCACGAATCCTAGCCCTGACACGGATCCTCACCCTCCCATTCTCTAGTACATTGTTAACCCACCCCTTCTTCCAATGAGCTCAGGGCAGTGTACAAGATTCTCCATTTCATTTTGCCCTAACAACAACCCTGTGGTGTAGGCTAGCCAGAGAAGACAAGGGGGCCTGGCACCAGGTCCCCTAAGGGGCTTTGTTCATGGCAGAGGGGGGATTTGACTGCAGCCCTCCCAGGGGGGGGGGCAACAGTGGGAGGGCTTCTAATGTCCTGGTCCCACTGCTGGACCTCCTGATGGCACCTGGTATTTCTGGCCACTGTGTGACACAGAGTGTTGGACTGGATGGGCCATTGGCCTGACCCAACACTGGCTTCTCTCTTAGGTTCTTATGTCTGGGGCAAGGGATGCTCTGTACTCGTGGTGCTTGGGGGGGGGCAACAGTGGGAGGGCTTCTAGTGTCCTGGCCCCACTGGTGGACCTCCTGGTGGCACCTGGTATTTTTGGCCCCTGAGTGACACAGAGTGTTGGACTAGATGGGCCTTTGGCCTGATCCAACATTGGCTTCTCTTATGTCCTTATGTGTCTCGGTAAGCAGAGATAGAGGACCGGAGAGGTGGGGTGGTCGTGGCTCTCTAGAGCTTTCACAAAAGACGAGAAGGACAGGGATGTGTGTCGGATGGACGGACTGGTCACCCTGAGCCTAAGAGAGGCGTAGAGGATGGCAGGTGCTCTGTGTGAGTGGAGAAGGGGAATCACACACACACCCCTCCAGTCTCTAGCAAGCTGCCTTCCCCAGCAGCAAAGCCTTCTCCCTCTGGGCCACGAGCCCCCGCCTGCCTCTCCCCTGCCTCCCTTGCTGACCTCTCCTTCCACCCAGTCGGGCAGGTCTGTGCCCATCCCAGCTAGGCTGCATCCTCCCCTCCCGTTTAGAGATGAAAAGGCCCGGGGGGGAAACGGGAAATTTCAGGATGGGGGAAATGGATTTTTTTCTGTTTTTTTCCTGAAGCCTTTTTTGTTTTTTTCCGAAAAATTGGAAAAATTGAAAAAAAAAGAGGGAAAATCGATTATAGAACATTTTATTTTAACACGATGAATAAAATATTTTAAGACAAGGTGTTCAAATATTTTCCAATCATTTCTAAAATATATATATATGGTATCAGATTGATCTAATTTCTCTGCACTGAGGACAAGCAAGTCCTAGGTTACCAACTGACCTATCCAATGCAAGAACAAGATGCATTTCTTCCTTTAGGAGGTGCTATTGTCACAAGAAAAGAAAAAGGTTTCGGTTTTGTCTTTGCATGTGGGAGGGTATTCTGTTTGTAATAATTGTTTAGATACACTCTGTTTTTAATAGGCGAGTTGTGATAATTTCGTGCCAAGTAAAAATGTCCATAGTCACATTTTATGTTCCTAAAGTAACAGAATGACTTTCAATCTGGAAAAAACAAAAGAAATGCTAATGTGGCATTTTTTCCAATTTTCCCGAAAATTTCAGTTTTTCCCCTGAAAAAAACCGGGTTTTTTTTTCCCGAACTTCAAAATTCCCAGAAATTTTACATCTCTACTCCCATTGCCAATATATCTCTGGGGCTCATCCCAAACTCCCCAGCAGATGGCAGAACAGACCAACAAAGTTTTATTCAAGGCGTAAGACTTTGTGTGCACGCACACTCTTACACCCAAGTGCGCATACACACGAAAGCTTACACCTAGAATCAAACTTTAGACCGTCTTAAAGGTGCCACTGGGGCTGCGGTGGCTCAAGTGGTTAATACGCTGAACTGCAGGCTGTGGAAGGTCGGTAGTTCAGCAGTTCGAGACCCGGGTGCCACATGACGGAGTGAGCTCCTGTCTCTAGTTCCAGCTCCTGCCGACCTAGCAGTTCGAAAGCAAGAAACTGCAAGTAGGTAAAGAGGTACCGCTTTGGTGGGAAGATAACAGCGTTCCGTGCGCCTCAGCGTCTAGTCATGCCGGCCACGTGACCACAGAAAACGTCTTCGGACAGTGCTGGCTCTTCGGCTTGGAAACGGAGATGAGCACCGCAACCTTAGAGTCGGATTCGACTGGCTTTGGAGCAAGGGAGACCTTAAAGGTGCCCCTGGACTGAAACTTTGCTCTGCTGCTTCAGGCCAACACGACTACCCACCTGAATCTATAAATACCTGCCGCTTAGTCAGAGAGTCCTTTTGAGCATGTGCAACAGGCATCACCTTCACACAGGTGGGATTACAGGGACAAGTTCCGGGGGGCAGTTGGTGAGGCTTTCTCCAGAGGAGACCGAGCCCCCGTAACGTCTCAGCACGGCAGCAGGAAGGACAACAGACCAGGTGGGTCAACAGAATCTCCCGGATTCTGAAACAGGATCCTCTCCCAAAACAGACAGAACCGCCTTCAACTGTATACGGCCCTCTGGTGTTAAGTAGGGACACTGCACCTGAGCCCCCAAAGGGTTCAGGACCTCACCTGTGCCTGCCCTCCCGCCTCAGTTCCTCCGTGTGCAAAATCGGGACAATCCTGGTCTCACCAGGCTGACACGAGAGTAAAGATAAAGGCTGAAAGTGTCCCGGAGCGGGCACAGCCCCATTGCCAGAGTCGCCCAAGACAACAAGAAGAAGAAGAAGAGATTGGATTTATACCCCGCCGGTCACCACCCAAAGGAGTCTCAGAGCGGCTTACAAACTCCTTTCCCTTCCCCTCCCCGCAAAACACACCCTGTGAGGTAGGTGGGGCTGAGAGAGCTCTGACAGAAACTGCTCTTTTTCAAGGACAGCTCTTGTCAGAACTACGGCTTGCCCAAGGTCATCCAGCCAGGTGCAAGTGGAGGAGTGGAAGAATCAAACCTGGTTCTCCCAGATTTGAGTCTGCGCACCTAACGACTACACAAAAGGAGGAGGAGGAGGAGGAGGAGGAGGAGGAGATTGGATTTATACCCCGCCCTTCACTACCCAAAGGTGTCTCAGAGAGGCTTACAAACTCCTTTCCCTTCCCCTCCCCACAACAGACACCCTGTGAGGTAGAAGAAGAAGAGGAGGAGATTGGATTTATACCCTGCCCTTCACTACCCAAAGGTGTCTCAGAGCGGCTTACAATCTCCTTTCCCTCCCCCTCCCCACAACAGACACCCTGTGAAGTAGGCGGGGCTGAGAGACCTCTCGACAGAAACGGCTTTTTTTCAAGAACAGCTCTGACAGAACTACGGCTTGCCCAAGGTCATCCAGCAGGTGCAAGCAGAGGAGTGGGGGAATCAAACCTGGTTCTCCCAGATTAGAGTCTGCGCACTTAACCACTACACAAAAGGAGGAGGAGGAGAAGAAGAAGAAGAGATTGGATTTATGCCCCGCCCTTCACTACCCGAAGGTTTCTCAGAGCGACTTACAAACTCCTTTCCCTTCCCCTCCCCACAACAGACGTCCTGTGAGGTAGGTGGGGCTGAGAGAGCTCTGACAGAAACTGCTCTTTTTCAAGAACAGCTCTGATAGAACTAGGGCTTGCCCAAGGTCATCCAGCAGGTGCAAGTGGAGGAGTGGGGAATCAAACCCGGCTCTCCCAGATTAGAGTCGGCGCACTTAGCCACTGCACCAAACTGTCACGGGATGCCCATTGGGGAACCCACCAGGAGAGTGGCAAAAAGAAGACATGCTGCGACAGTAGCGACACAGGATGGACTCTTTCAGGACGCGGTTTGACCACGACCACCAGCTGCCAAGCCAGCCAGACAAACCACAGCAAAGAGCCGGAATGCTGCCACAGGAGTAATGCAGTACTGGCCCTTTAAGGCCCCCCCATCTCTGCCAACAGCTGCTGGAAGTTTAGGCCGGTGCAACAGGAGAGGGCAAGAGGGCGCAGGTGAGGTCTCAGGAGACTTCAGGGGAACTGACTGAGCACGTGCAGCCTGCTGCTAAAGCTTCATAAGAGGCTCAAAAGCAGGTCAGGGAAAAAAAAAAAGGGGATTCTGTGTTCTCTCCCTAGGCCCTGCAAGAGACACCTTGCAGGGAAGGGAAGAACTAGAACCAGCCCCGCCTCTGCAAGTTCAAGCAAACAGGAAAAGGTGTCATGGAGAAGGGCACTGCTGGGGGCAGGGATGTGCCTCTTCCTGAACTCCATAGTGAAGAACTCTGCAAACTTCCAAGGAGACGTTGTACAAAGCTGGAGGGTAGCTTGAGGTTCATCCAGTCCAACCCCCCTGTACTATGTAGGGAATCCACAAATACCTCCCCCACAGTGAGTCCTGCTCACAGAACCATACAGTTGGAAGGGACCTCCAGAGTCATCTAGTCCAACCCCCTCCACAAGGCAGGAAATCCACAACTCCCTCCCCCGCAGTGTGTCCTGCTCACAGAACCATACAGTTGGAAGGGACCTCCAGAGTCATCTAGTCCAACCCCCTCCACAAGGCAGGAAATCCACAACTACCTCCCCCGCAGTGACTCCTGCTCCCAGAACCATACAGTTGGAAGGGACCTCCAGAGTCATCTAGTCCAACCCCCTCCGCAAAGCAGGGAATCCACAACTACCTCCCCCGCAGTAAGTCCTGCTCACAGAACCATACAGTTGGAAGGGACCTCCAGAGTCATCTAGTCCAACCCCCCTGCACAAGGCAGGGAATCCACAACTACCTCCCCCCTCCACAGCCCCAATGACCCTTGCTCTATGCCCAGAAGAGGGGGAGGGAACCCTCCGGGATCCCCAGCCAAACCGGCCTGGAGAAAAATGGCTTCCTGAGCCATGCTCAGAGGAAGGCAAAAAACCTCCAGGACCCCTGGGTCGATCTGGCCCGGATGAACATTCCCTCCTGACCCCAAAGTGGCGAGCGGGCATGTCACCCCGAACCGCAACGAAACCCTTCTTGGCCCCGACAGCCAATAGACGAGGCCGGGACTCGAGCCCTGGGGGCAAACCACCACCCAGGCAAGCGCCTAGAAGAGGAATGAAAGGGTTACCGTACCTCTGGACTTACTGTGTGTTTCTTAGTCATCCGCCACAAAACGCAGGTCAGGAACATGTGACCGAGGGCCGCGGCGATAAAGAGGATGAAGGCGTTCTCGTGAATCACTGCAGCGAGGAGAGAAGGGGGCAAATCTCGGCATGGAGCAAGGAAGCGGCGGCTGGGAGGAGGGGCCGAGGGGCAAAGGCCGCCCTCCGGCCTCAGCAGGACTTTGGAACTTCAGGGAAACCCGCAGGATATCCTAGTCCAGTGGTGGCGAACCTATGGCACGGGGGCCGGAGGCGGCACTCAGAGCCCTCTCCGTGGGCACGCGTGCCATCGCCCCAGCCAGGCCCAGACCACCATTAAAGGGTTGAATTCTCTGCCAGATCATTTTAAGAAAATGAAAGCATTTGGGATTGCTTTCCTTACTTTGTTTGGATCATCTTAAGTTAATGTGTGAGTTGTTTTTTCTAAAGTAAAACCTCAGTCTTCAGGTTAAATTGCCGTGTTGGCACTTTGCGATCAATAAGTGGGTTTTGGGTCGCAGTTTGGGCACTCGGTCTCTATAAGGTTCGCCATCACTGTCCTAGTCCAACTGTACACCGTATTGGTCAGGCCCAACGCTCCCTTCTAAGCCGTGGAGTCTTGTGAGCAAAAAGTCTACTTTGTGAGCGACTGGCATGAAAACTGTGAGCGAGCGATTTGACCACTGCACAGATTAGCCTGCTCTGGAGCCCCATCCTTCCCGAGCGGAGACAAAAATGTGTGAGCCGGAGGCTAAGAAACTGTGAGCTGGCTCGCACTAACTCAGCTTAGAGGGAGCACTGGTCAGGCTGCGCAATTCTGGAGGCCCCTCTTCAGAAAGGACAAGGGCAGAAAGGACCAGGTGCAGAAGAGAGGAATGAGGATGATCAGGGGCCTGGAGACCAAGCCCTACGAGGAAAGGCTGAGGGACTTGGAAATGAGGATGATCGGGGGCCTGGAGAAGGGAGAACAGAAGGGAGAAAGGTATGGGAGGAGCCAGGGAAAGCCAGAAGGAAGTTGCCACAGTCTAGGCTGGAGACAGACAACCCGAATACGTGCCAGCCAGGCCTCTGACGGCAGGATCCGGACCAAGGCTCCCTCTAAGCTGTGAAGACTTGTGAGCTAGCTCACACTCACTCAGCTCAGAGGGAACACGGATCCGAACACTCCCCGGGATTCTTACAAAGCCACGCTGCTTGCTGCGCCATTCCCCAACAATCACAGGGAAGCGGCCAACAGGGTGGGAGACAGACAATGTTCCCTCTAAGCTGTGGAGTCTTGTGAGCAAAAATCGTACTTTGTGAGCTCCTGGCATGAAAGTTGTGAGTGAGCGATTTGGCTGCTGCATAAATTAGTTTGCTCTGGAGCCCTCCTTCCTGAGCTAAGGCAAAAGTGTGTGAGCCGGAGGCTAAAAAACTGTGAGCTGGCTCACACTAACCCAGCTTAGAGGGAACACTGCTCCGGAGCCCTCCTTCCTGAGCTAAGGCAAAAGTGTGTGAGCCGGAGGCTAAAAAACTGTGAGCTGGCTCACACTAACCCAGCTTAGAGGGAACATTGCTCTGGAGCCATCCTTCCTGAGTGAAGGCAAAGATGTGTGAGCCGGAGGCTAAAAAACTGTGAGCTGGCTCACACTAACCCAGCTTAGAGGGAACACTGCTCCGGAGACCTCCTTCCTGAGCTGAGACAAAAATGGGTGAGCCGGAGGCTAAAAAACTGTGAGCTGGCTCACACTAACCCAGCTTAGAGGGAACACTGCTCCGGAGACCTCCTTCCTGAGCTGAGACAAATATGTGTAAGCCGGAGGCTAAAAGAACTGAACCAGCTCACACTAACTCAGCTTAGAGGGAACACTAGAGGCAGACACACACGGCGCGAGCGGCTGACGGCCCCCCGGAGAGAAACTCACGGTAGTTTTCCGAGGAGGAGACGTAGGTGAGGAGCAAGAGGGCGACGTTCTCCAGCAGGTTCAGAGTGAAGGCCGCCTTGCACAGCCGCGGGTAGCTGGGGCGCGGGCAGTGGCAGCCGCGGTAGTGGTTCCAGTAGACGACGGCCACCAGGAAGCGGGGGGCCGAGTGCGCCCCGATGCAGAAGCGCCACATGTAGCGCTCGGGGGTCGCCCCACCAATGGCGGCGCTGATTGAAGGGAGGTAGTTGGAGACCTGCCGAAGAAACACAGAGGCCTCTTGCAGTGTGCCCGCTGCGCCGGGCGGGCCTCTTCTGCCCGTGCCTGGCGGCCTCCAGGTCGCTTCCGAGGCTGAGCTCGCCGGGAAAACACTGACGGGTGGCATTGCCTATGGAGAGCTTGTTCTATAGCCCGCTCCTCACTACCCGGGGGGCTGCGGTGGTTCAGAGGTTAAGATTCTGAACTGCTGACCGGAAGGTCGGTAGTTCGGCAGTTCGAGACCCGAGTGCCGCAGGACGGTGAACAAACATGTGGACAAGGGGGATCCAATAGATATTATTTACCTTGACTTCCAGAAAGCTTTTGATAAAGTTCCTCATCAAAGGCTCCTAAGTAAGCTCAAAAATCATGGGATAGAAGGACAAGTCCTTTTATGGATCAAAAACTGGCTAGTTCATAGAAAACAGAGAGTGAGTGTAGGTGGGCAATTTTCTCAGTGAAGGGTGGTAAGCAGTGGGGTACCGCAGGGATCAGTACTTGGTCCACTGCTTTTTAACTTGTTCATAAATGATTTGGAGATGGGAGTAAGCAGTGAAGTGGCTAAATTTGCGGATGATACAAAGTTGTTCAAGGTGGTGAAAACCAGTGAGGATTGTGAGGCACTCCAAGGGGATCTGTCAAGGATGGGCGAGTGGGCGTCAACATGGCAAATGGGGTTCAATGTGGCCAAGTGCAAGGTGATGCACATTGGAGCCAAAAATCCTAAATATAAATACACATTGATGGGGTCTGAACTGGCAGAGACTGAGCAAGAGAGAGATCTTGGAGTTGTAGTGGATAACTCACTGAAAATGTCGAGACAGTGTGTGACTGCAATAAAGAAGGCCAATGCTATGCTGGGGATTATTAGGAAGGGTATTGAAAACATATCAGCCAATATAATAATGCCCCTATATAAATCAATGGTGAGACCTCATTTGGAATACTGTGTGCAGTTCTGGGCACCACACCTTAAAAAGGATATTATAGCTTTGGAAAAAGTGCAGAAAAGGGCAACTCGAATGATAAAAGGGTTGGAACACTTTCCCTATGAGGAAAGGTTAAAGCGCTTAGGGCTCTTTAGCTTGGAGAAAAGACGACTGAGGGGTGACATGATCGAGGTTTATAAGATTATGCATGGGAAAGAGCAGGTAAAGAAAGAGGTACTTTTCTCCCTTTCTCACAATACAAGAACTCGTGGGCACTCCATGAAACTGCAGAGCGGTCGGGTTAGAACGGATAAAAGGAAGTACTTCTTCACCCAAAGAGTGATTAACACATGGAATTCACTGCCACAGGAAGTGGTGGGTGCTACAAGCATGGACGGCTTCAAAAGGGAATTAGATAAGCATATGGAGCAGAGGTCCATCAGTGGCTATTAGCCACAAGGTATAGCTAGGGGCTCTGGGGCAAGTGATGCTCTGTCTTCTTGGTGCTTGGGGGGGGTCAACAGTGGGAGGGCTTCTAATGTCCTGGCCCCACTGCTGGACCTCCTGATGGCACTGGTATTTCTGGCCACTGTGTGACACAGAGTGTTGGACTGGATGGGCCTTTGGCCTGATCCAACATTGGCGTCTCTTATGTTCTCTTATGTTCTTATGACGGAGTGAGCTCCCGTCTCTGGTCCCGGCTCCTACCAACCTAGCAGTTCGAAAGCAAGAAACTGCAAGTAGATAAACAGGTACCGCTTCGGTGGGAAGGTAACGGCATTTTGTGTGCCTCGGCGTCTAGTCATACCGGCCACATGGCCGCGGAAACGTCTTTGGACAGCGCTGGCTCTTTGGCTTGGAAATGGAGATTAGCACCGTGCCCCTCGAGTCGGATTCGACTGGCTTTCGGGCAAGGGAAACCTTTACCTTTGCCTTTACTTCACTACCCAAAGGAGTCTCAGAGCAGCTTAACGATCTCCTTCCCTTCCTCTCCCCACAACAGACTCCCTGCAAGGTAGGTGGGGCTGAGAGAGCTCCGAGAGAATGGTGACTGACCCAAGGTCACCCAGCTGGCTGCATGTGGAGGAGGAGTGGGGGAATCAAGCCCCTCGGTTCTCCAGATTAGAGCCGGCCACTCTTAACCACGACACCAAACTGGCTCTCGCGTCGTCTCACCTCCGCCGTTAAACTGATCTGGTACAACTCAGTTGTTGTTGGAGATAATCTGGGCTTTGGGATTCTTTTTTTAACAAGCTTTGTCCTGAGGGCTGCATTTCTAAGGGGCGGTCAAAGTTACTGACGGGCTGGCAAGCCGCTCTGACCTCGGAGGCGAGGCTTAAAGCCGCATCTGGAAAAGCGCCGAAAGGTGACTTACGCCGCAGTGTGTGGCGGTGGCTTCGTCGAAATGGAAGAACAGAGACCAGACCACGCAGAAGAGGAACCCGACGAGCGGGCAGCACACCGTCCCGACGGCCAGGGTGGTGAAGGGGAGCCGGAAAGCGTCCCGTCCCGATCCAACGGCATTGGCACTTGGAACATGTTGCGGAACCTACACGTGGGGAAAGACAGCACCTCTCTGAAGTTTAACTCAAAAACTAGGGTGTGTGTGTGTGAGAGAGAGAGAGCTCTCCTTCTTTCCCACGCGGCTGTGGAGAAAGGTCTAAAAAGTGCACAAGGAGGGTTTCCCTGCTTCCTCAGAAATCAAAGGGGGGCTTTTGGCAGGCCAAGATTTAAAACAAGGGTGGCCAAACTTGGCTTAACGCAAGAGCTGCACAGAATAAACGTCAGGTGTTTGAAAGCCACAAGACGTGAACAGATACGATGCATTTTTATCAAAAATACATGCAAACTCGCTTTTTATTAATGGTATAAACGTAACTGCTGAAAATAAAAGCCAGAGGGGTCGAAACAGATATTGATGATAATATTTGTTTGTTTGCTAATGGTGTTTATTTGTCTAAGAGGGAGAGGAAAAGAACAAGAGAGGTGGGAAGACGGACCGAGAGAGGTGGGAAGACGGAACGAGGGAGGTGGGAAGATGGAACGAGGGAGGTGGGAAGACGGAACGAGGGAGGTGGGAAGACGGAACGAGAGAGGTGGGAAGACGGAACGAGAGAGGTGGGAAGACAGAACGAGAGAGGTGGAAAGAAAGAGAGGAAAGAGAGAGAGAGAAACAAAGAAAGCAAATAGATGGGAGGGAGGGAGGGAGAAAACAGCACGCCTCCCCTTCGCTTCCCCAGCTGCCCTGCCAGGAGCCGCACAATATGTGTGGAAGAGCCACACTTCGGCCACCCCTGATTTAAATGCTAGGCTCGGCTCTTCTTTGCCCGCCACCCCCCCCCCAATTGGCTAAAACAAAGACCCCGCTGTTCCCAGCTTGCCACCTCACCCGCCAGGCTTTGAGAAGAGATTTCTCCACCCCCATACCTGGACGTGGCAGCATCCAGGAAACTGGCATCTCCGTGGCACTGCAGAGCGTTGGCAGCAGGCATGTGGCAGCAGCAAAGAAAGAGGCTCTAAGAGGGATGCCCAAAAAGAGAGATGCCCGAGGGACTCTGCCCTTCCTTTACCCAGACAACTCCTCCCCCGCCCCAGCCCTTGCCAAAAGACTCTCAAGGGGACATGTCTCGGTGGCAGAGCCTCAGCTCTGGAAGGTTCCCCAGGTTCAGTCCTCTGCAGCATCTCCAGTCAAAAGGACTAAGCAGGAGGTGATGCGGAAGACTTCCTCTGCCCGAGACCCTGGAGAGCGGCTGCCGGTCTGAGTAGACAAGACTGACCTGGATGGACCAAAGGGCCTGATTCAGCA